ATCGCGGACGCCAAGGACCGAGGGGCCGCCGACCTCCCGCGCCGGCCCGGCCCGGGCGGGGGACCGTGGTGGGCGGGCCTGCGCCCGGCCTCAGTTTCCTCCATGTAAGACGCGTAAGAAGCCCAGGGTGCGGCTGGCGGCTAGCGGGCCCATGGGACACCCCGTGAGGGAGGAGAAAGTGCCGAGCTCTCCGAAGACGCGAAGCACATCCCTCCAGCCACGCCTGCACACCCTCGACGTGAGGCCAGCACTCAATCTGATTTGTTCAGGCGCAGGAAGTTGACCCGTGTGGAAACAGCCAGAAGTCCCTCCCCTACGCCAAGCAGAAAACACCCGTCTCCCGCTTAATGACTGGTCCAGTCCAAGAGCCAAACCCGCCGCAATGCCTTCTGGGTAAAGCAGGGTGTTGGTTTTTTTTTTTTTTTGACATCTCCTTAGCCGTTGTGACTACCCACCATGTTCTCCGTTCGTTTGCTACAGGGCTTATTTTTTAAAGTTTCTATCAATGGTAGCAACTCCATCATTCTCCTGCCTGACGGGAATATTTTCCTGTGGTTAAAGTAATTCAACCACCAAGGCCCAGCATGGTCTCGTTTCCGGATCTCCGCAGAGGGGATACATATACACACTGCAAAGGCGTTTGGGGACAGTTGGGAGACCACTGCAACACATCATGCAGATGAAAAAGCATCTGCAATTATTTTGACGACATCTAAAGCAAAAGTCAAAACACTAAGTAAAGCAAGTGATCACTACGTCTTGCTGCAAAATCAAAAAGACAAAGACGAGTACTTGAAACATGCCATCAATTTACCTGACAGAGTAACAGAAATTGAGAGTTCACACAACTGCAGACACCGTTCCAAAGGAGTCAAAAATAAACTGGCCATTGAACAATTAGCTGAAACCACTCAATTATGAGATGTGTATGTAACAAACAGATCTTTGCTTGTAATGAAATAAAAACTCCGTGGAGCTGGGTGTAGTGGCACATGCTTATGATCCCAGCACTTCAGAGGTTGAGGCAGGAGGATCACTGTGAGTTCGAGGCCAGCCTGAACTACAGCGTAAGAGCTTATCTCAAATACACATATACATACTCTGTGAGCAAATACCAAGCATTTACTCCTCAAAATACACTATCACTGTGCATTGCAGAGGCAGCCCCCTTTGTCACAATGCAGAAGAAAGGCCATCTTTGGCCTTGAGTCTAGAGAGAGGTAAGCTGGACAGACACCAAGAGACCACATTCCCCTAGTGCCCTGCATGTCTCTGGAGGCACTGTTACTGGCCACTCTGTACTGGGGGTAGCTCCCTAAGAGACATGAAGCCGGTGAAAAGGAAAAAATATTATTCAAAGCTAGTCTGGAAGGAGACAGAGGGACCTCTTATTGCCTCAAATTTCTATCTTACCTTCTTTACACATGCAAGGGCTTTTATTGGAAGAATGGAGGAATACAGTAAACCAAAGAAAATTTCTTTTATCTGGCCATGCTTGGTTCTTTGCCTCCCTTGTGGAAAACAAAGCAGATTAGGTCCTCTTAGGGCCAATATCAACATACTTCCTTTCAAATGCATACATCTGTTTTACAACACACTTTTGTTCTTTCCAACAGTATAGGTAAAGACAATGGAGCTGAGGAAGTCACTCCTTTCCATCCACTTAATTCTAAGTAGGACCATACAGCAATTCTTCCACTGTCCTAAGAGACAGGAAATAATAAAAGCCCCGATCTCTGATGCTCTAGGCAAGAACATGTGTGTTGAATCCTAGCCTGGCCGTCAGTCACCCTCAACATGCTCCCACCTCATTGAGGGTTTGTAGGTTTGTCCTACATGTCACACATTAACGTCAGAGTGAATTCTGAACAAGAGCCTCTAAGATGATTCAACACCCTGCCCGTCATTCCTGTGGATCACACCTAGAGATTCACCCAGGCGTGGTGGCACATGCCTGTCACTCAACAACATCCTTTAATCTCAAGTTATCCATGTTTAATGATACAGGAATTATTATGAACCCATATTCTTTAGTTTTCTCTGTTGCAGACAGAGGCTGTAACTTTTAGTAGCAGTACAAAGAGTACACAAGAAATTACTGACATGTGCTAATGGGAATACAGAGCATTTATCTGCCCATTTCATCTGTACAGAAATAAAGGAAAACATGAAATACTTCCAAGTCAAAACACTGTGGACATCTCTATGTGTAAAGACCAGGCTGAGACAAGGTCCTTTCTTTCTAGACTTCCTCTATACTGTCACCACCAAATTAAATCCTGGATAGTGTGTAAAGAATTGCTAGTTTTTTTTTTTTTTTAAATTGCCACACTGTTTTACAATGGTTCACAGGTATGAAACAGTATCAAATGGAATTACTTGTATGTATTGTAGAAAAATTGTTTATTTAATGTTGATTAAAGAAATCTGAACTTAGCACTTCAGTCTCACATCACTGTGAAAGAGATGCAACCCAGCTGGACCCCACCCCCATCCTTTATCCTTTGAGCTTGTAAGTTTCACCCCTGGCTGCAGTTTTGGGACCTTGGATTTGAAGAGGCTATGTACTGTTCCCAAAAATGAGGCATGGCTGGTTCCATGTGCTTAAATTGTTCCTCTCAGCAATGTGGCTTATGTGGGCATCTGCCAGCCTTCCCAAGGTCTAGAACCGTGTGCTCAAAAGCATACCCAGTACAAACTCTCAGCAATAAGGATCAAGTGGGATTTCCCATTAGGCATCTCACATGAGTGGTTCCAAGTTCCAGACCGAGCTTAAATGAAGCACATCCTATGTCATTTCATTAAGACAAGACTAGAAGATTGTGTCTGGTTCCATACTTTCATCCTGTAAGACCCTACTTTATCTCGTGTAATAAACCATAGCCATTTAGTATGACAAAATGGTGAGTCCTGTGAGTTTTCCTGAAAATCATCACACCTGGAGGTGTCTTCAGGACTCTGACATAGCTAAGAGTTTTAAAATCTTGTACACTGGCCCATAAAAGGCCAAGTAGATTCTGTTTAAAGTCATGATGTCGTACACGGTGTAAATTATACACACAGCTTTATGGTGAACACACTGTGGGGAACGCATCAATTATAAAAACACCTCTCTGTCATGGTCATTCACCTAAACACACATACACTGAGGGTCTGCCGAGAACACCAGGTGAAGTGAACAGAAGGGGCCGGCATGGATGTGGGCGTGGCCTAGGGAAGACAGAGAAGGCTGCAGTGTGTCTGCGCTGACCCATACGACAGAACTATGGGGAATTTACTACGATGTTTTCCAGGCACCTCAAGCACAACACCTAGAAATAAATGTATGCATGAGCCTCTTCCCACTATTCACCCTCTGGCTTCCCCGGCCGTGCCCATTTCCTCAAATCTAGACATTCTCCGTATTTCTACACAGTCACAACTGATTATGCAGTCATTAAAGACCTGAGTTTCCTTTATTTCAGATGCTCGGAGGGATGGCCAAGAGGTATCCTTAGATGAAAATAGGCTTGGGATAAAAGGACACTGTTTCATCAACTATAAAAAAAGATCCATTCTACGGGAACCTGCGTGGTCTCCAGACCCTTAAAACCAAGCTTTAGAAACATGCAACCTTGGAAAAATTCCTTAATCTTTCTGTAAAATGGGGGAAATAATCTTATCTATCAAATAAAGATGCCACAAAGGCTAACAAAGTTTTAAAAAGCTGTTATGTGTAAGACATTCGAAACAACCTCTGACACAGGATAATACTGTACATTGCTCGGTCATACAATTATGACTGTACCCCTGGGGCCATGTGGTCGATACATGCGTCACTGTGCATGAAAGATGCAGAAGGCCAGGTACGGTGGTGCCCACCTGAAATCCCAGCACTCGGACTGCCATGCATTTGAGGCCACCCTGAACTATGTAGTGAGACCCTGTTTCAAAAATTAAAAAAGATGTGGGACGACTGGTGCGCAACACACCTAAGAAACACTCAACCTGGAGAGAAGGATTTGGGGAAACTTTATACAACACTGAGAATAAAATGCCTATGACAGGGAATCAACCTATTCATGAAGAAGAGGAAAAGTTAGAAAAGCAATGGCCATGATAGATCCTGGGGTATAAAATCGTATCCCTATAAAGAAGAAAAAAAAGGAATTCACAGAACCCAGGAAAGGACCTTCACGTTGGAGAGATGGTTAGCACTATACAGGTCCAAATGGGAATGAAGGGGTCCAAAGGGACATCTGAGAGGCCTGAGTACATTTGTGCAGGTCTCTGCACACAGAAGCCATTGTGTAACGTCTAAGGAGTGAAAGGAATGTCAGGGGGTGGGGATAAGCAATACACAAAACCGTTACACAGGACGCATCTGTGAGAGAAAAGAGGAAAAGGCATGGCAGAGCTTGACAGACAAGCAGGACAAAAACAGCCTAAGGATGATGCTAGAGAATGCATATAGCTACACATTATGGGTTAAGAAGATGGTTAATAAGAAAAAGTTGAAGACTAAACAATGCAAGTATGATGCTGGGCATGGTGGTATATGCCTATAATCCCACGAGGCCAGCCTGAACCACATACGGAAATCCTTCCTAAACAAAGAATATAATATGAAAGAAGAATGGGTAAAGAAGAAGTGTCTGTCCAATCACAAAGGGCAAGAGTGATCTGAGACTAGGAGAGGTTACTTTCACTGAAAATATAACAACGCTTAAAGTGTTCAGGAATTTTATATACAAATCTTCCCTAAAGAACATAACTCTGAAGAATATGCAGATCACTCTAAATTATAAAATCAGATCACAGAAACTTTTGTTGAGCCCAATATAAAGCATTATAGGACTTCCATTCCTCCAGGTAATTTAGGATTTCTATTCCATCAGCAAGAGAAAAAACCAGAAAACCATGACTGGAATGCAGAGTTTTGTGTATTTTTCTCAAAAGCCCTACTCTAGCATTATAAACTTAGCAAAGAAATGTAAGGTATAAAAATCAACCAAGTGGAAATTAAGTCACTGAAACATACAAAAACCAGAAAGAAAACTCACAAGTTGAATTGCAGATTAGCTATGACAAAGGAAATTATCAGTGAGTGCAAAGAAAAGCAAATGAAACTGATATGAAAAAAAAGAAAAAAGAGGGTAGAAAAAAAAATAAGAGCTGGAGGGACTCGTGGACAGTAACAAAAGCTCTACCATTCAAGTTACTCAGGATCCTGTAAGAGAAAATAAAGAATGAGGATGAAAAAATATTTGAAGTAACAATAAAAATCTCCCAAATTAAGTTGAACACACAAGATTTAAAAATTCCATGTCAGAGATTTCATACCTATAAATATTAAAAAGACAAACATTTCGAACACAGTTTGAGGGACACAGCACACTCAGGAACAAAGAGAACATTAAGGATATCTTTAGATGAAAGAAAGCAGTAAGCACCTGTCACCAACAGCTCCACCCCAGAAGGAAGGCCAGAGGAAGAGCATCAGAAAGGAAACGGGAACCGAGAAAGGCGTGCCACTTCAAGAACTAAGGAACAACGGACTGGGTAAACTGGGTAACACAGAGGCAACCCAAGATTTCTTATGATGTCTGTAAAATATGTTTGAAATAAAAATGACACCTTACTAAATGATGCTCATCGTACGAAAAGGAAATACTGAAAAAACTTCTATTAACAGTAAAGGGATGTAATGCAAGTAAGGTTTCTAAACATCAAAGTGCTAAATTGGTGATATCTTTAAACTGTGACAAGGCTGCACTGTGATATATAGAGCAATACTACAAAAATAATGAAAGATACGCTAAAAAACTACAGATACAAAATGTAATCTACAAGAAAAAAATGACAAGAAAAAATGAGAACAGGGCCAGGGATATAGCTCAGCGGCACAAGCGCTTGTCTGGCAAGTGCAAGGTCCTGAGTTCAATTCCTGGTACCAAAAAAAAAAAAAAGAGAACAACAATAAACAAGAAACATAAACTAAAATCAAATCATAATATGGCAGCTATAAGTGCTAAAAGATCAATACTTACTTAAGTACCCAAAACACAGCAATTAAAATACAGATACACAAAATGGACATAAATGCATGATCTAAGTATATGCTGTTCATGTTCTTCAAATATGATAAAGATAATGATGAAAATATGAAGTATGCAAAGCTTTAACCAAAAAATATAATGGTGACTACATGCATATCAGATAGAGTATAGTTCAGAGCCAAGAACATTTATAGGAGCAAAAAGGGATATTAAAAAGTGATAAAACATCAATACCTTAAGAAGCCTTAGCAGTTCTACATGTGTATATACTTATTTTTGGTATGCATATAGAGCTATGGCCAGGTGTGGTGGCACACGTCTGTAATCCCAGCATTGAGGAGGATGAGGCAGGAGGATTGCTGGAAGTTCAAGACCAGCCTGGGCTGCATAGTGAGTTCAAGGCCAGCCCAAATCACAAAGCAGGACCCTGTCTCAAAAATAAATAAATAAATAGAGCTGGGAATTATATATATGAAGGAAAAACTGATGGAACCTAATGGAACCTAAAGGAAGAACAGGTCATTCCACAGTTACAGTTTGGGACTTCAACTCTCCTCTCTTGGTAACTGAGGGAAACACTGGACAGGTGAGGCAGGATTACAAACAGAGAAACTCAGTGATTTAACAAGTACCTGTCTCAAAACATAAAAACGGCTTGGGATGTAGCTCAATGTGAAGGCACTGGATTCAACTTCCAGTAATAACAAACAAACAAAAAAGCCCCTAGAATATCAGCAGGACTATATAATGTTTGAATAATAACACTAGCAAACAGGTTCACGGAGACACTTATAGAAACTACCCAATGGCAGCAGAACACATGTTCTTTTCAAGCAACCATAGAAGGAAGGAAAAACCGTATCTTGGGTCAAGAGAAAAATCTCAGCACAGCCAATATGAAACAAGTTTGAAATCAATAACAAAAGAGCAGAGCCGGGCACGGTGGTGCATACCTGCAATCCCAGCACTCAGGAGGCTGAGGCAGGAGAAGCACTGTGAGTTCAAGCACAGCCTGGGCTACAAAGTAAGTTCAAACAACCAGCCTGAACTGCTGCATAGCAAGACCCTGTTTCAAAAAGACAAAAAAAAAAAAAAAAAAAGCAGGAAAAACAAAAATTCACTAGAAAACTAACACACTTCTAAATAATTCATGCATTAAAGAGGAAGTCAAAAGAAATAGAAAGTTTCAATATTGAATGAAATATAATTAAAACATTTTAAAACTTGAGGGATGAAGCTAACAGACCATGACAGAAATCTACAGAACTTTTAAGAGTTTTTGATAGGCCGGGCGTGGTGGCACATGCCTGTAATCCCAGCACTCAGGAGGCTGAGGCAGGAGGATCATTGTGAGTTCGAGACCAGCCTGGGCTACAAACTGAGCTCAAGGCCAGCCTGAACTGCATAGCGAGAACCTGTCTCAAAAAGACAAAAAAAAAAAGAGTTTATGATAGAAAAAACCTTAAATCAATAACCAAAACACTCATCTTAATAAATTACTAAGAGCATGGTGGTAGTGGCAGCATGCCTGTAATCTCAGCACTCAGCAAGTTGAGGCAGAAGGATTCCTGCAAATGTGAGATCAGCCTAGGCTACAAAGTGAGTTTAAAGCCAACCTGAACTGCACAGTAAAATCCTGTCTCAAAAAGACCAAAAAAAAAAAAAAAAAAAGAAGGCTATAGCTCAGCACCTGGCAAGTGCAAGGTCCTGAGTTCCGTTCCTAGCACAAAAACTAAAAGAAAAGAAAAAAAAGAAATCACGAAGAGCCAACCAAATACAAGCAAAGCAAGCAAAAGACTCGTACAATACAGATCAGCAGAGCAATCCGTGAAAAAAGCAGAGACTGCAAGCCCCCATGACGGCCCTCTAAACCCAGCTACAGTGCTTAGGAGGGGAAAGCTTGAGGATGGCAAGCTTGGGGCCAGGCCGGGCAACTCAGCAAGACCCTGTAAAAAACCTTTTTAAATGGAGGTGGGGTGAGAACGTAGCTCAGAGGTGGCCTGCTTGCCTAGCAACAGCACGAGTCCCCTGAATTCAATCACCAGCACCGAAAAATAATACAAATAAAAAATAGAGAAACTCAATACAAAGTGCTAGTTAATTTGAAATAACAAAGAAAATGGTTAAAAGTTTACAAAGACTAGAAGAACAGATCAATTTCCAATGTTAAGAAGAAAACAGTGTGTATATGTACAGATCCTGCTGCCATCAAAAGGGTAGAATGGAAAAAGTATTTTGAATAATGCTACAAACATGTTAGGAAATTTACATGAACTGGAACGATTCTTTGAATGAAGAGAACCGTAACAATTCATCCAACATGAGATAAATACATAATTAAACACACCTAAATGCTTCACTGTGAATGGAACCAACCATTACAAGAAACAAACAACACTAACTTTACAAGCTGCCTTCCCAATAATTCAAGCAGAAAGAATACTTTGGAATTCATGTTGGGAGGCTAAAAACACCATGAACCGGAATGAGAGTACAAAAAAAAAAAAAAAACTAGAACACCACCAAGAAACTACAAAGCAAATTAGGGAAAACTTCCTCAACAAAATACTAACAAATAGAATAATGCAATACATAAACAATTATATTCCATGACCAAATCTGTAAATTAAAACTCAGCTAATGTAATGCTTCGGATCAGCAGACTATAGATAATAAATCAACTGAGAAAAAGCATTTGAAAAATCCCCAAACTTCACAATAACACCAAATCTTGGCAAATTATAAACAGAAATATTCTAAACTTTATTTTGAAAAAAATATTTGCCAGGCATGATGGTGCATGCCTGTAATCCCAGCACTTGGGAGGCTGCGGCAGGAGGACTGCTGCAAGTTCAAGGCCAGACTGGGCTAAAAAGTGAGTTCAAGTCCAGCCTCAACTATTTAGCAAGACCCTGTCTCAAAAATAAAATTAATTAAAAAAAAAAAATTACAATTAACACATTGAGAAACTGAAAAATTTTCCCCTAATATGAAACAAATATAGAGGAGTTCTCACTAGTCCTAGTCACCATCACACTGGAAAACCTAGTTAGTACACTAACACAAAGAAAAGAAATAGATACTCATCATTTAACGGCATACATGTTTAATGACTGTTTGCACTTGCGACCCATTGCTCATACTTAAGGATCCTTTTTTTCTTTGCATACTTCTGTATATCTTGTTTACAGAGTCTCAATGTTTTTTCTTTGTACAGTACATCTTGCTTATATAGTACTGTAGCTTTTACTGATTGTACTGTACAATATAGTGCTGTAGTTTTAGCGACCAATTCATTTAATGACCTAGTTGCAGGACAGAACTTGGTGGTTAAAAGGAAAGTTCTATAAAAAGTATACAGATAAAAAGAAATAAAACTATTTGCAGATGACATGCCTATGTTTAAAATCCCAAGGATTATATAATAACAAAGAAAGGCTAGAAATAGTGACTTCATTCAAGTTGGAGGATACTAAAGCAATAGCCATAAGTAATTACATTTTTGTATACTAACAAACACCATGTGCAAATTGAAAGTTTTAGAATCAATACCATTTATAATCACTAAAAGACATCTTATTTAAAATGTACAAATGCTTATGCTGTACATTATAGAACAGTAATGGAATAAATCAAGGAATTCTTGAATGAAAAGATGCATCACGTTCATGAACTGGAAGACTCATCACAGGAAAGAAACCAATTCTCAACCAAATGATATACCGATTTAACTCAAATTGTATCAGCAGCTGAGCCAGAGTTCATTAGAAAAGAGGAAAACCTAAAGTGTATATGGAAAATGAAAAACATGAGTGCTGATTAATTTTAAATACGAGTAAAAAGGAGTCACTTGACTCAATTTTAACATTTACTGTATAGCTATAGTATTCAAGTAAACCAACAGCTGGGAATCAAGAAAAATTTTGACTGGTGTATAAAACCACGTAAGACTTTTGTTTCAAAAAAAAGCGAAGACTTAGCTTTAAGTGATACCAAACAAGTGCCTGTTCACTTACACTTTCTGGTGCTGCAAATGTAGCCCAGTTGTACAGCGCATGCCTAACATGCTCATGATCTTGGATTCAATTTCCCGACCGCACATACATACACCTGTTTTCCCTTCTCTCTTTAAATACAAAAGGATTTCAGAACTCAAGTCTTCATATTTTTCATAAAACTGCAGTGTGCAAGAGTAATAGGTAGAACAATGAAGATATTCAGTGTATTTCTACACTTGACATTGGACAGCAATGAACATATACACAATGCACACAGAGAGTCAAGGTTCTTTAGCTCTTAAACCACAATCCTTTCCACCAAATACACTAAAAAATCCAAGGACGAATGAGTGCCACAGATCTGACAGGGTAGTGTAAACAAAGCACTGCTTCTATTTCATGTCTTTTCTGTCACTTCCTTTTAATGAAAATTCCTGAGATACCACTGCACTGTAAATTGGGGAAGAAAATGTAGCTAAAAATTTCCCTCAGTGCAAAATGCCCACTGGGTCTCTCTCCTGGATGACATCGCAGACAAAGCATAATGCTCTAAGTTGGGTCCATCTCTAACATGAGTCTTCAGAAGGCAACAGCACTCTGTGAACAGCTTTCTCACAGTGAAGGCATCTGGGGGCTTTCTCTTTGGCAGGAATGGTCAGGCGCCATGTAAGATGCTTCCTCCTGTAAAAGATTTTCTTCGCTGGGTACGTTCAAAAAGTCATTCCCCAGGAGAAGTTCCTGGATGTTGACAGGGGCTTGTGCACTTGTGAAAGGCTGTCCCTCCTCTGCAGCACCGGCTGCGTTTCTTCCCGTGTGCATCCTTTGATGGTGGGTAAGCGAGGAGCTGCGGCTGAAGGCCTTTCCACAGTCACTGCACTCATAGGGCTTCTCTCCTGTGTGGATGATGGAGTGGCGGATGAGGTTCGTGCTCCAACAGAAGGTCTTCCCACACTCGACACACTCGTAGGGCTTCTCCCCACTGTGGATCCGCTGGTGTCGCGTAAGGCCGGACCTGCGGTTGAAGGCCTTGCCACACTCCGTGCACTCATAGGGCTTCTCCCCCGTGTGGATGCTGAAGTGGCGGATGAGGTCTGCCCGGTTGCTGAAGGCTTTCCCACACTCTTTGCACTCGAAGGGTTTTTCTCCAGTGTGGGCCCTTTTGTGCAAGATGAAGGTGGAGCAGTGAGTGAAGGCCTTCCCGCACTCGCCGCAGACGTAGGGCTTCTCGCCGGTGTGGATGCGCTGGTGCCTCTTGAGGTAAGACCTGTGGTTGAAGGCCTTGCCGCACTCCAGGCACTCGAAGGGCTTCTCCCCGGTGTGGATGACATAGTGGTGGATGAGCGCCGCGCTCTCACAGAAGGCCTTTCCACACTCGCTGCACTCGTAGGGCTTCTCACCCGTGTGGGTCTGCTGGTGCCACATGAGGTACGACCTGTGCTTGAAGACCTTCCCACACTCAAAGCACTCATAGGGGTTCTCCCCACTGTGGATAATGTAGTGGCGAATAAACCCTGGCCTATCCCGAAAGGCTTTGCCACACTCTTTGCACACAAACGGCTTCTCTCCAGTGTGACTCCTGTTATGCAAGACAAACGTGGAGCGGTGGGTGAAGGCCTTGCCACACTCACTGCACTTGTAGGGCTTCTCCCCACTGTGGATGCGCTGGTGCTGGGTGAGGTGTGATTTGCGGTTGAAGGCCTTGCCGCACTCCATGCACTTATACGGCTTCTCCCCCGTGTGGACCATGTGGTGCTGCAGGAGGTAGGTGCTCTTGCTGAAGGTCTTCCCACACTCAGTGCACTCGTAGGGCTTCACTCCAGAGTGGACCCTCTCATGTCGAGCGAGAAGGCGTTTCTTATTAAACACCTTCCCACACTCACCGCACATGAAGGCATTTTCCTCTTCCCCCTCGGTCAGGGCATCTCTCCCAGGGCTGCACGCTGCACAGTCCAGCATAGCATCTTGTGCAGGGACCTGTTCTTCCACAGTCCCAGGACACAAGCTGTCATCTGTCCCCACATGTCCAGGGCCGGAGCTCACTGTCCCAGGAAGCCTCTCCCTCAGGGCCTGTACCCCTGATCTCACGAGTCCGTCCTGCCTGGCTGAAGGGCCACCCTGACCAGGGGCTTGTGTCCACGCAGAGGTCCGAGTGGCTCCAAGTGACAACTGTCCATGAAGGCAGGGTCCCTGGCACAAGCCTGGCTCAGACGAGGCGGGTTCTGTGGCCTTGGGTTTTCCACTGTCACCTGGAAGAATGCAGCACAGAGGAGGGCTGTTAGTAATGGCAACCCAGAAGAAAGAAAAGCAGTACTTCAATGAAAAAAGCAGCAGCTGAAAATACCAGGTCCACGGGAAAGGGGACGGGGCTGGAGACTGAGTCACACGGCAGTGATCCCACTGCGTGTGCGTAACAGCACGCAGCGATGCTCCCACCGAAGCCCTGCTGACCCTCCTGGCTCAGTAACACTCCGGGCACACTTCCACTCCTGGATGACACATGGGTAACAATTCCCGAGCACATGGATGTCTCACGCCCGGGTCCCCTTCTGAGCACATTTGGCATCTCTTCTAACACAGATCCTTTGCAACAAATGCGACTCAGGAGGTTGTGGAGAGCCTGGTGAGTCTTTTTAGCAACTAGTGACCCGAGGTGGTCTGGGGAAATCCTGGACTTGTGGTTGGTGTCAGAAGAGTTGGATAGAGCTGGCAATGTTGAAGGACCTGTGCTTAATCTTCAGTTTGCCTAACCCTGGTTGAGAAGAGATTAGGGGTTTTTCAATTTAGTGACCCAAAAAGGGAGTCCGGCAGGCTGTAAGAGGTGCCATCAAGCCACGCGTG